ACAGCGGGCCCCCCCCGCCCACGGGAAGGGCCGAAGGCGGCAGGGGACGAAGGGCCGCGAGGGCCGACACGGGACGGAGCCCCCGGGGGACACAGGGGATGGCTGCAGAATGCCCCAAAACGCAGCCCTTAGGGCCTTTTTTTGAACCAAATTCGAGGGGTTTCCCCTCAAATTTGGTTCTTCCTAGGACCTAATCCCGACTCCTCCAAGGCAGAAGGTCCAAAAAGGCTGAGGGGCCAAGGCCAGGCACGGCCCTGGGGGCACCCGCTTGTGTTTGGGGGAGAAAAGGCCATTTCTGGGGGTGGTTTGGGGAGGGCCCAAGAAACGGGGGCTGCTCTGGGCTGACCCCACACCAGGACTGGCCCTTGGGCTCAGCTGAAGCGGGACAGAGGCCCCAGGGCCTGGGAAAGAAGAAGGGGCTGCCAGAAATGTTGCTGTGAAAAATAAGTTTAAAATGTATTAAAAAACAAAGGCAAGGTAACACATTTTTTCTTCATCTTTTTAAATCCCAAGACCCACAGAGTTGAAGGCTATGTTTGTGGGGTTCTTTTCTTAAAGAAAAAATCTCTTTTATAAATATAGACTGAAAGCAGCAAGTCGAGCTGTTTTCCTTTCCCCTTACAGTTGCAGTGGAGAGACATGAAATATCCACAAGGTCACAAAATGCAGTTATTGTGGTAGGCAGGGATAAAAGATGTGATTAAATTGCACTGAATTGGGTTAAACTTCCTAAACAGGCACCGAGTAACTTCTTGGACTTTGTGCAGTGGGATCTGCAGACTCCCCCATACACCTGGGGGCAGGGGGACCAAACCTGGGGTTCATTAAGGTGAGAAGCCAGAGAGAAAAACACACCTGGAGTTCCTATTTCCATGTGTTTTAACAGTGGAAAAAAAAAAACAACAACAACAACAGTGGAACAGTGACAAAAATGGTGGAAAAAACAGTGGAACAGTGACAAAAATGGTGGAAAAAAACAGTGGAACACTTTAAACGGTGTTTGCCTAAAAAACCTGTACAGGAATTTACAAAGATTTCCCCTCTGTCCATAAAGCAGAGTTTAAATTATCCTATTTCACAGTCTGTGTTCAAGGTAACGTGTCACGATGCTGCTCAGGGCATCTGGTCCGAGCAGAGGGATCCTTCCTCTGCGGAGCCGCTCGTCACTCACCGAAGATCCAGAGCACGTTGACTCCGGAGACACCGAGATTGACGCGCCTGCAAAAACAGCACCGGAGTCACAAACCATGGGCAAGTTACAGCTCCTTTTTACAACCAATCTTTTGAAAAACTTGAAGAGCAAATTAAAATCCACATTTCCTGCATGCTCGGAGCTTACACGGTTCTGCAAAATAGCTGCTGTTAGACCAAGTGTAAAGAGGGTTTTATTCGGTCCCAGTTGTCCCCATACAGCAACGTCCTGTGGCATTTCAGCACTGAAAGCTGCTGCTCAGCCCTCGTGGGTGACATGACGGGACCCAGCAGGTGACACTTACCCGAGCATGCCCGATTCTTTGGTCTTTATAATGTACAGAAACATGAGCAGGGTGTGGAACATGTTATTTCTGCCCTAAAAACACAGGGAAAAGAACTTGGCATCGAGATCATGACAAGCAACCACACCGATATCTTAGAGAAAATGTCTTATTTAAACCAATGTCCTGCTTATAGTTGAGCTCGAGCTGTACAATTTTTCCCTTAAATCTTCTTTTAAGATACACAGACACCTCAGTGTGCACCATGACACCCCATTAAATAATCTGAGATGAGACAAAACCATAACAGAGATCTCATGGAATGTTGTTGCAGCCTGGGGGGTTGCCTCAAAATTTACCTCTCAGTTAGCTAAGTATCAGAAAAATCCCCTTTTTCTGGATGGATTACCATTCTTAAATATTCAGGATTTTTACAGCATTTTTCTGAAATCACAGATCGAGTGGATTGAAATCACAACCGAGGCTTCAATGTAAAAGTTAAAACATGCAGGAAATATCTAGTATTTTGGTTTTGAGACTGGATGGTTCCCTCCACAAACTCCTCTAGGTGATCATGAGGTTTGTTGGCATTGAGGAATAAGAGCTCACATCAGAGCTCATATAAATCAGGAGTTTAGAACAAATCAGGAGGAAATACACAAGGTTCTTTCTGCACTGAGCCCACCTACATATAAATATTCCCCATATATATATATATAGGATATATAGATCTAGATCTATAGATCTCTCTCTCTCTGTATATATATATATATATATGTGTGTGTATATATATGGTAGATGCAAAACAGGTTTTCATTTGTCATGTCTGGGAATCAAAGTTTTAAAAGAAAAGAGGGATTTTTTAAGGGTGCTGATGTGATGCAAGCTGTAAAAGCAGTTGAAGCAGCAGCCCAAGAAAGGCAGTACCTGGTTTATCTGTTGTCCGGATGAAGTACTGGGAAGTGAAGGTTTTGCCATTGGGATACTTGGGGCTAGGTGGCAGTCTGGAGTCAAGGTAGGTGCAGAAGATGTGCATAAGGATCTGTGCAAACAAACCCAAATCTCACTTTAACAGCATGAAAAAGACCATGGAACAAAGGGCTACAACACAGCAGCTTCCTTTGCATAATCTCAGACACAAGAGCATATATAGAACCTCAGGAGGTCTGGGGGAAATTGATGCTTTATATCAGATATAATGAGACTAACATTACTGCAAAGGAAATAAATGTTAAATGTTTTTTGAGTAAGTTAATACCAAGGCTTCAAGACAAGTGTTTGCATTAATTTTCTCTGTGTTCTATCAGAGCTTCTTTCCTGGAATCTTTGGAAGTTTTGCATGTTGTCCAGCCCTTCCTCTCCTAGCTGGTTTTGGTAAAAGACCATGAGGTCCACGGGTGATGTTTGGTGTTAATGATCGTTACCACCTTCAAGTTGTCCTGCTCCCTTGTCTGCCAAGGCAGCCAGAGCTGCTTCCCAGCTTGTCAGCCCCAAACAGAGGGAATTTAATTTTCTAACTGTGGGGATTACTATTTCAAGACAAATTTTGTTCAGCTTTAGCTTCCACCAGTTCAATCTTGTTCCATCTTCAGCAGCAAAGTGCTGTAAAGCTTTTACCTATGGATCTCCTGGTTCTTCTTCCCAATAACTGAGTACCTATATAGTGAAAAAAGATTAACTCTCCTCTCATACCAGCTGAAGAGTGACAGTACGAAGATTGTTTTTCACTCCCTGGATTATCTTGTGGCCTCTGAATTATTCCAGGTGAATTTTCAGGCTGGGCATAGTGAAGTGCTTCTCTCCTGACTGTTTGTGTTAACTGGCTGAGCAAAAGCACAAGTCTGTGCTCGAGTAAAACACCACAACCCTGCAGGTTTCTCAAGCTGAACAGACATTAGACAAGATGCTCAAGCTGTTCCTTTACCCACTGCAGAAAAAGGGAAATCAGAAGAAGGTTGAAGATTCTTCTTGCATTAGAAATTATGAGGTTTGGTTAAGGCAGAGCTCTTTTTTAAAAAAATATGGTAAGAAAGTTGCTGTAAGGAGATCCCTACCCGAGAGACAGTTCTCTGACATCTCAGATGAATCTAAAGAGGCTGCCCTCAGGCTAAGACACATGATGCCGTTTTTGTGACCTGCATCATTTCCAGGCCCGTTTGTATTACTCCTCACACTACAGAGGTTATCAGAAGTGAAGCCAATAGGATTTTGACTTTTTTTTGCTGCCACCCACAAAATTGATGCCAAAAAAACCTGCTTTAGGAAGTTCTGAATGCTTTGAACACTTACAGCGCAGTCGGTGGGCAAGTCAGCATCCCATTTACGGCCTTTGAAATCTCCTCCTCTGTTCCATCGGAAGGAGCTCATGCACCCTCCCTGCGAGAGCTCTGAAAACAACAACATTTATTCAGCTCCTGGGGGTGGAAGGTGCAAAAAAAAGGCGTATTTTGCACTAGCTTTGAGACACCTCAGCGTGCATTTTCAGTGCACCATATGGGAAGGATTCAACTAATTGAATGCTTGTAAATATTATATATACTTAGGGGTGCTGAGTTTACAAGACGATTTTTATTTGTAATTAGCAAAAGGGATTGAATCAATGGGAGATCTGGCAGCACCGATGCTTGCAGCTAAACAAACACTTCCAAGGCAGGAAGGAGAGCACGTACCTTTGATCCGTTCAACCAAGTACTCTTGGTTTGGCGTGAAATCCAAATACTGCACGATAGTGTTCAGGGTGGGAATGGCTGCAGCTTTAACAAGCGCTGCCTGTTTCAGGCTGCTGATGCTGGCTTCTGCGTGCAAGGTGTTAATAAATGCACTGTTACAAAGAGGACCTGGCTTCTTTGCTCTAATTATTTATTACTAAGCTTAGAGCTCAAGTTCACATGTTATGCAGTGCCCCAAATGCTCATTTCCCATCCCCGTGGGGCACTTGCTGTCTCTCTTACCCAACAGAATAGAAACCCTGGGCAGGGCTGTGCAGGCACAAAAGACTTAACTGAAGGGCTTGCATTGCGTGAGGAAAGAGAAACAGACAGAGTGTGAAAAAGGGAAGAATCAAAATCCATTTGAAAGAGCAGCAGGAAGAGCAGGGAGGTGCAGAAGAAGCCAGGAAGGGGTCAGTGCTTCACAGGCGTCGCGGGTCATGAGGGGAGCCAACAAACCCCAAATAGGAGCCTGTGTTTAAATGCAGGGAATCAAACCCTGTTATTGGGGAAGGGGCCATATGTGGAATCTGCCAATGGAAGGGGCTCCTTCCATTCTGCCAATGGAAGTTGGACTGGGAAATTGTAGCTACAATTCCCGCTCAGATTGTCCTCCCAACTCCATCTACTACTACAAATCCCTGCTACGAAGAGCTTAAATATAAATGATTAATAACCTGTGATAACAGGTTTATTCTAGGTTAAGATATTAAATTAAAAAAAAAAAAAAAACCTTCCCAGGTCTGTGATTTTAATAGTATTCCACTTACAATAAGACCTCTCAGTTCTTAATAGTATTTGTTCAGAGTGTATCAGAACTAAGTCTTCATAAAACATTTGTGGCCTAACTGCTTTAGGACAAGGCAGTGGGTAACAATTCAAGGAACTAACAGCAATATTTTTTCTTTTTTTTTCTCCTCCAGAAAACAACCGATTTTAAGGAGACAGTTGAAAAGGCACATATCTAACAGACAGTGATAGTTGACAGGCAGCTTTCCTTGCAACATGTAATAGTTTTCTGGCAGTATAAGATACAATAAGGATGCTAAGTGGAGCCTTTAACTCCCCAAGAATAAATGCAGAGAAAATAAGAAGCTTATGAATTATATACTAGGGGAGCACGAGCAGACCTTCACCAGGATTTCCAGAAATCTTAGGAAAAGCCCTTCCTGGATAATAATTTGCAAGCCCACAGCTCCTCCTATCGTCCCACCTCCAATCTGCATTTCTGGGTACCCCATTCTTCGCAGCTGAGTGCTCACAGACTCGATCTCTTGCACAAGCGGCACTAAAATTGTCTCGTTAATCCACTAGGAAAGAGAAATGCAAACATTAAAAAGGCAAGAAGCAACAAGAAGCTCCTGAATCTGGTACAGAACAGACATGACCCTACATCTCATGAAAATCTTTACTTTCCACTCACCCCTTAACAAACACACAAAAAAACATGTAATTGCGTTTCCTTTGCTACAGTGATGCCTGCTCCTAGGACTAAAATGTTCTTGTTGTTTATTATGCTTCTAAAGCTAGCAAAAAAACCTACTGTGCTGACATTTTCCATGCTTTACTTGAACCCAGGAGAATAAGCTTGAAAATCACACACAAAAAAAAAGCAGTTCAGAAATTTGGGTTGTAGAAAGAAAAAAATTCAGTCTTATCACATCCACTGTGTGTTAAGATGCATTTGTCTCCATTTAAAGGTGAGTGAAGTTTACAACTGTAAAGTTTTCAGAATACAAAACAGTCACATCAGGCAGTTCAGGTTGAAAATTTTCTTACTACTTCTTGGTTACCAGCAGGCTGGTTTAACCTCCGTGTCCAAGTTCACCCTAATCCCCAGGAGACTCAAAGATGGAATCTTTTTGAGAGATGAAGCACTTCTCTATATGTCCATACCTGTTCTAATGACAAGAACAGGCAGTCTATAGGGACAGGACTTACACTTCTGAACCGGGCGGTCCAGGAATCCATGTGATCAAGTTGGCGCCGATTCACAATCACCCTTGCCCAAACCTACAGAAAAAAAACATTATTATCCATCTACAGAGAAAATCAAAGGAGCTTTTAGGGCCTAAGACTTTTTTTTTGAGCCCAACAACAACCCATAACACAAACTGCATTTATTAGGTTAAGGGATGACATAAAGAAATGGATCAAATTTAATTAAGCTACCTTAGTGTTCCTTTGAATCAGACTTATTCCAGACACAAGTGCAAGTTTTTTGTACCTTCAATTATTTGACTATGTTAAATATAGGCCAGTTTCCAGGCAACGTTTAGGTCATAAGGTTATTTGACCCCAAGTGCAAAATGGTACAAGAAGTAACTTGAGTTTAACTTGTAACTTCTGTTTCATCTCAGATTATAGAGTAATATTAAAGAACTCCAGAGAAAACGCTTCTGAAGAGCTGGCCACATTGACAAAAGGGTTTCCTGCTTCCCACCGCGGCTCACACAGTGAGCATCACTTCCTCACAAAGAGGACAAAGGAAGAAAGCCCAAAATTCTTGCAGGAGCCACATTTCTATCTAAATAAGGTATCCTGTATTTACAGAATGTGCAAATCCTGTATCACAGAATCTGTGATTCTGTGATCCTGCTCTCCGAGGCAGAAATCTTTTTCCATTTCCAATCCAGAATGTGAAACATATCCCTCCAGCGACAAAGAGTCTTTAAAAACTGGAGGGACATGGATTTCTCTCCCTCTTTCTAACATAGTTGATGGAGCTCATGGCCAACCCTCTGGATGGAGCTCCGTGTTTTAGGGCTCCTTTAGTGCTGAACTTACTTCTTCTGCAGCTTGTGGAGAGCTCAGATGAGCTTCATCCTTGTGGGTGGACGGGGCGAGGGGCCTGCAGGCCAGCTGATACTGGAACTTTCTCAGCACCTGCGCTTGCTCTACGAGGGAACGGCTGTAGTTCCAGAACGTCGGGCTGTTGGACGGAGAGCTGGAATCGGAATTCGCTGAAATGACATTAAAGTCACGCACAATTATTCCCATAATTGCCCAACAGTGAAGGCAATAGCTCCACAAATTAAATTTTGACTGGAGAGACACACTTGTTAATTGTCATGAGTAATTACACTTAAATCTATCTGCATAAAGATGAAACTGGTGCTTATGTCAATACGGCACAGTCCTTTCCCAGGACAAAAACTGCCTGCAGGGAATTTTTCCATCTTTACCTGAAAGGCTTTCTCCACAAAATATCCCTCTCAACAAGCTGATAAAGCCCTTCATCTTATCACAGTCCAACACAGCTGACAAATGCTACAGATAAAAACCTATCAGTGCAGGTTTCCATAAGACACACCCATTTGGCCAGCAAGAGCAGCGTATTTCTACCCAGTACAAGGTGAAGGAGCAGAATTTTCTTAAGCCCCCGAGTCACAGAGATGTGCAGAAATTACCAAATTCTGCCTCCTGTCTTAATTACTGGCTTTTTACCACTTTTACCAGGTTCAGAAGCGACTACCACACGTGTGAGTGATTTTGATTTACTAGCACTTCAGCAGCTCGCTGTCTTTGCTGGAATCCTTCCCAGCTTTTCTCATCCACAAAAACAACTCTCCAATAAACCCCCCATCCTCTCCTTGCCCAACTTTTCAGGCCAAGCAAAGTGTTTTATTTACCCAGCTGAAGTCTATGCTGTTTCTCTTCTTCACTTCGAAGGTATTTTTGTAGTGACTTTAGGTCTGTGATTTCATCGTCCGGACTCATTCGGGAATTATACCGGATCGGTGTGGAGCGGTAACGGGACCTCAGGCCACTTTCCACTGGTCCAACACTTGCTGGATACGGGGAACCCGTAGGAGAAGGGCTGAAGCTGGAGAACTTGAGGGAACAAAAGCAAATGCTTGTGTCATACGAAGATAAAGAGTACCTCTTTGGTTTACAAACTACATGAATTGATTGACTCAACACATGAATTTATGGCTCTGTGGATTGCTTTTATAAGACCTAGCCTGGGTTTTGGGAAGTTGGGTTTTTTTTTTTTTTCTGTTTTGCATTTACATTTTCATTTCTCATTTTTGCTTTTGTTTCAAACAATCTAACGCTTCTTAAAACGAATAAATTAGCACTAGGGAATCCCAGAATGGTTGAGGTTGGCAGGGACCTCTAGGGATCACCCAGTGCAGCCCCTGCTCCAGCAGGGACACCCAGAGCACGGGGCACAGGGTGGCATCCAGGCGGGTTGGACATCTCCAGAGAAGGAGCCTCCACAGCCTCTCTGGGCAGCCCGTGCCAGGGCTCTGGCACCCTCACACCAAGGAAGTTCTTCCTCACATGGAGGAAGGATGAATCCTGACAAGATAAATCTACAAACGGAGCAAACAGGCACCTCCACCAGCTTGTGGCACACCACGAGGACACGAGAAGCGAATTCCAAGCGCTCTCCCGGAGCTGTCGCAGCCCTTACCTTGCTGTAGCTGCTGCTGGGTGAACAGCTCAAAGCACTGCTGTAAGAAGCGTTGCTGCTCGACAGGGCCTGCAGCTGAGGGCTGTAGCCTGCGATACAACCCGAGGCAAACTTGGGGCTGGCCCGGAGGGGACGGGTCGGGCTGTAGCTTAGCACGTTTTGACCCTGCATGGCAGGGGAAGGCGTCGAAGAAGGGACCTTCTTGGCTGCCAGTTCGTTTGCTGGAGTTATTTGCACCGCTGCAAGAAGCGAAAAAATGTAATTAGTACTGGAGATGCAGCAGCCCCAAACTCCCCTCCTTCCTCTAAATGCACAGCAGAACACACACACAGGTGTTTCTTAAGGAAATTCAACAAGGCTAAAAAGCTTTGACCTCAATTCCATGGATACATCACAAATTCCGTATCCAACTTCACGAAGAGTCTCTCCGACGGCCCTTTACCCTCTACCCTCTTTTTTTTTTTATAGCTTCTCTCTTCTTCAGTTCTCCCCTCAATCCTGCACCAATTTAACATTTATATCTTGAATATGCTGCAGTTAATTCATCTTACTGCTGTTTTCAGACAAAGTAGCTGAGAATTGCACTTTGCAAAGACACCAACTTAAAAGAACAGAGATGAATGGGCATTTCTAACACCTACCTGCATTCTGCATCCCTAGAAGGACCTGCTGCCTTCGAGTCATGACTAAGGTAGTTGGTGCCATCGTGTATTTGAAATACAACCAAAAATCAAATAAGGCATTCAAGGTGAACAGGGATGCAAGCACGAGCTCTAGAATAAAGAAGAAAGTTTTTATCATGATAGACACCATAAGCATTAGCAAAAAAAAAAAGTTATTTAAGGAAAAAAAAACAAAACAGGTTTATAAACACACACAAAAAAAGGTCATTTTAAGTGCTACCAATACCGGTCATTGGGGGACAGAAGTGAAGCTTTTTCACCTTTTTATGCAAGAAGCAGCAGAGACAAATTTCCTCTCTATAAAATTAATTTATGTGGGCATAAAGAGGGATAAAAGAAAATAAAATGAAGCCCTAGTATTTTTTTTTAAAGCTGCCTTTAAAACAACTTTCCCAGCAAGAAAATGGAAGCATGAAATATTCCCTCCTCCCTAAAACTCACTTATGGGCAGTACAACTCACCAATATACCAGAGTGGCCAGAAGGGGATGTTATAGTAGGAACTTAGAAGTTTTCCAGTCCTGAAAAGGAAAAAAATAACCCCCCAAAAGTTACCACTTTGCAGTAATCGTGTTCTGGGAAATACTGTGGCCTATAGAAAGCAGGATGTTTTACATAATTGAATCAGATTAATAATTGACCTACATGTCTGTATAGATCATCCCTGCAACGGAGATGTTAAGGAGCCCCCAGGCCCAGACCACCTTCCGCTCTTCAGCCTCTCTCCTCATCTTCATGGTCTTGTCGATGAGGGAAGCTGCCGAAATCTCTTCGGCTGCCATGACCTGCAGCAGGAGGGAGGCAAAAATGGAGGATTTGGATACAGCAAGTCTCACTCAGCACAAGACTCAAGAAAAATGTAACAGCCAAAACCAAATTGTGTAGAAGCACTTCACTTTTAGGAGCTCTAGGTACTGATTCACAAACAGTGCTCGATCACAAGCAGTCTTTTTGCAAGCAAAATCCCTTTTACAAACCCTGTAAACACTATCTCCCTTTCCAGCAAGGGCAGGTCTGTTTTCTCCCACGGGCTGCAGTGATTTCGAGCCCCCTTTGTGAATAAGGGCACTTTGCAAAAAGAAATAAACGGAAAGAAAAAATAACAAACGGGGGGAGGGAAAAGAAAAAAAAAAAAAGGAAAAAAGGGTGGGAGAAAAAAGAAAGAAAATTTAATAAAAGAGAGGGAAAGATAAATGAATAGAAGAGTGGAGGAAAGAGAAAGAAAAAATAAAAAGGAGGAAAAATGGGAGAAAATAGGAAAAAATAGGAGAAAATAGAAAAAATAGGAGAAAATGGAAAAAAATAGGAGAAAATGGAAAAAAATAGGAGAAAAGGAGAAAATAATTAAAAAAAGGAGAAAA